AAATCGGCACAGGTCAAACTTTTGTGATGTAGAGATAACGGTGGACAGACAGTTTGGGCAACACTGTGGTGGAAACACCACCAGTTTTATCCTGGTAGCACCTTAGGGTCTTCCTGAATGGAGTGTGCATGGTATTCCTGCCTGGGATTTCTCCAGGGACTCCAGTTTCCTGCCTCAATACAAAAACAGGCCGATTGGCTTCATTGTTATTCACTCTAAATTCACCATGATGATGAACGTCAGTCTGAATGTTTCCCTGTCTCTATACCCCATGTGGCCCTGTGATGAACTACAAGTCTTATGTGATTAGTTCTTGCTAACCTGCAAAAAGAAAATTCTGACTATTAATTACTGACTTAAGTTTTCTTCTGTCTCCAGTAACAGCTTTAGTCAGGTATTTTGGCAATTTGGCAATTTCAGTCTATTTATTTATACATTATATTATACATATTTATTTTAAGTGAACATTTTTTCATCCTTTTCTCCAATGACAAGTTTTTGAAAATCTGCAGTGTGATGTCTGAAAATCAAAGTTATTACTAATCTATGACCCAGTGGGGTAATGTTCCCTTTCCACAGTAAAATATTGTTGTTGTTGTTTTATAATAAAAAAGAAAAAAAATTCTTCCCTGCCGTGTTTTTAATGACAATGTTTTGGGAATACAAGTTAAATGTTCTGATTATTTATTTTTTTCTGACTTAAAGTGCTTGAGAAATAAGAATTGATTTTCTTGTATCCAGCGTCTGGTTTTTACATTTATTTTGACATTTTTCCTACAAAAAGGTAGACAAATGAAGCTTCACAGTAAAATCTTAGTTTGTGCAGATAATAGTGATAATAATAACAGAAATATCAGCCTTGCTACTTATTGTAAAGTCATGACCCACCAATGGAGAAATGTTCGGTAATTACAGCAGTGGGGGTGCTCGTTAATCCAGGCTGGCTCTGATTATCACCTGTTTTGCGTTAACACTGAAGACCAGACTTTCCTAAGGTGAAGCACCTGATAATTGCCCTTAGCAATGACTTGGTGATGCTAGCGATAATCAGTGTCATGGAACTGGAAGCACAATACATTCTCAGTAATTGTCCTTGATTTTTTTTTTTTTTTTTTTCTCTTTTCTTGCTATTCCACCGTCATCCGTTACAGGTATATTTACTGCAGTGTATTGCATTACAGTGGAAAGCTAATAACAAATCCCTCAAACGTTGGTGCTCAGGTGATAACGCAGTGAAACCCCATTGTGACACAATTATAGATCTGAGTCAACACAATCAATCACTGCACCGAGGTGCAGCCGAATGAGGGGAATTGATTTTGTTGTTGTCAAAACTCCTGAAATGACTTTGCTGCTTCAGTAAGTGTCACAAACTTACAGAACTATTTCAGAACCTGAAGTTTAGCAGATGATGTAATTGCGCTTCCTCACTTTAAATGATAATTTCATTTTTATTAATTTGTTTCTGTTTGTATATTAAATTGTTTTGTTTTTTTTTAGAAAGAAATCAATGCTCAACATTCTCTTGTCATATGTGTCTAATGGCCGTCTTTGGCCCTGAGCAAAGTTCCATTACACAGCAGTAGGAAACAACAAATATGTTGAGCCTATATATTTGGTTCAGATTGTTGGTCACGAGGCCCAAGTAAAAAATATAAAACAAGTTTCTTTTATTTATTCCCCCTTGGCTTGACAGTCTGTGCAGCTTGGGCGTATAACAAGAGGCATAAAGTATTTCACTCCATGTACAACAGTGAGCTGCAACATCTTAAAGAAGATGTAAAGGCAGCACAGTCAGCCGTCTAACTTCCCCGTCCTAGAGACCATCACTCTGTGTCTTATTTCCCGGAGTATTGATGTCTTTAAGTGAGCTTCTCAAGTGACTGGAGGCAGCGGATGCTCTATAGATTGCTTTCAGGCTGTTTGGACACAGCTGTTGGGCATAGTTCAAAAGTGAAACCATGTTTTTGATGAAAGGTTTTTCGGAGAAGTGAGATGTGGCGATGCTTCTGACTCCATCGTGTCCATCCATCAGTGTTCAACAGCATTTTCTGTTAACAGGTCACAGAGCAAGATGGAGACAGTCCCGGCCAACATCGAACAAAATGTCACACTTTAGACCGGCCATGAACCGAGAAGACGAATAAGTAGAGAACGGTAAGTTCTAGATTCTAACCCGGGACCCGGGAAAATTAGTAGCCTAGCCTCATTTGAATCCCAAAGGTTTAAGCTGTAGGTTATCATCGACGTTTCATGGTTAAGTCGCCATTTTGTTCCATCTTTCCGACGTACAGCGTTAAAACTTGTCAAGTAGTTTGCATGGGAACTTGTTGGAGCGGACAAATACATCGTCATGCGGTTTTATACGTGGAAGATAGCTTTGTTTACATTCTCTGGTTTTACGCTGTATATTGGTTTGTGCTACATTCACTTTCTTTCATTTGGTTTTGGCTTCATTATGGCTCCCAAACTTAACTGTGAGCGACATGGGTTCTGATATAGAATGTGAACTGTAGGAAAGGACCTCCGACGTAAGTCGAGCTTTCCCTGTACAATTATTTCAGACCAAAAATCTTTTTCTCTGAAAAATATCTGGAAGACCTTGGCTTCACACCCTAAGTTCAATAAGTGTTTATATGTTGCAGCTACTGAGGAGAGGAGCATTGCTAACAACGTGCATCCCTTTATGGTCATAATTTACCCATCTGCTAATGGTTACTTCTAGCATCAGTACTGCACCATGTCACTAAAGTCAGCTTGGGATCAGTGAATGTTAAAACCCAGCAGAACATCCAGAGGGATTTGTCGGAGCAGGAGATTCTCTGCTTGAATGTGCATCTGACAACTCAGCAGTTTGATAGCATCATGTAAACATGAAGCTAATTCTCACAGGATTCTGAATGGAAGCTGTTCTGGGAACTAACGGAGTACATTTTTGTCAAAGAAAACATGATAGAAAACCAAAGAGGATGGAAAGAGAGCCATATTTGCATGGAAACAGACAAAATCCATTAATTTGTGAAGTGCTTTATCTTTTTTCAGTTTTTTTTACAGAGATTTTTTTTTTCAGGCTGGACTTTGATGTGTTGCTGTGATGAATCATTTTAGAGAAGAAGTTGAAAATAGTTATTGAGACATCAAACTGGACGGTGTTGGATCACCAGAATCTTCAGACTGTGGTGTCTGTGATAGAAATCTTCTATCTGACTCCCTTCCTTGGGATTCTCTTTTGCTCCTAATGGCTGAATGCAGGACTACAATATTCAGTTCATACATCATTGCAGTAGCAATACTAATAGTTTTGTTAAAGGCCAACATTATGCAGTATTATGCAGCAATTACTAGATTACTGCTGGGATTTGCTTTGACCCACTCAACTTATTTTTTCAGTGTTTTGCAGACAATAGAGTGTCAAAATCTACCAACAGCGTCAGCATATATTTAAATATTAAGGACAAAAGAAAAAGAAAATAATCTTTTTCCTGATTACGATTTTATATTTCAGAGAAAAACAGTATTTACAGGAGAGACTATTAACAACATCATTGAAGAAACTGGGATGGTGTCAGCTGCTGAACTGGAGTAATTAGTCAGCGAAGCTCTTTGTGGTAAAGAAAGCATTTGACCGCTGGCCTCGTCTGCTTGGAAGAATGTCAGAGGCTCACCTCGCTCTCAAATATGACTGTGATTAACATCAGCAATTACCTGCAAAAAAAACCACACTCCTTTATCTTTGAGACAAAGAGAAATGAGTCGACTTCATGGTCTGGTGCGCCTCAAAGGTGCGGTTTTATAATACAGTTTAGTCTGAGAAAGTTAACGCTCTTAATTTGTTGTGCAATGCATATGAATTAAAAACAAAAATGTGATAGTTTTGCATAACCTTTTATACTTTTTGGGGTGGGGTTTCAATTGTTATGAAAGCCAGTGCTAAATAGGAAGCAAAGCTCTGTGGGAAATGTGGTGATGTGCAGTGTGTAAGTGGCAGCTGAATCCAAACCAGTGAGAAGCAGGAAAATGCTAAAATGTTTCAATTCAAACCGAAAAAATATATATATTTAAAACAATGGTCTTTCATTTGTTTAGTATTGTCAAATTAAAAAAAATAAAAAAAATAAAAAGAAGGATACAATATATTAAAAAACATATTCATCAAATCAGTTTTTTTTAAGGTTCCATTTTTAAATAAAATCTAAATTATTCCTGAGTGCATTCATGTTCGCATGAGATCATACATAATGGATTTTAACCTGAAAACAACAGATGAAAAGGTCATAGAAATTGCTGTACTTCAGCTGCTTTCTTCTCAAGGCTGCACTCTGACGTCAATTCATTTACTTCAAACACTTATCACTGTAAGCAACCCTGAAATCAGCCGGAATTAAAGGCACTCTTAGTAAATGCAGTTTAAACTAGTTTCTCGTACAGTTTTTTTTTTTTTTACCCCAAAGTCGTTCCTCTACGACTGTACACCAGGTTTAAAGCAAATGCTGGAGACATGATCTATATCGTCACTTTAGAGAATGTTAGACTGGTGGAGATTGACAGACAGTGGAGTCGACAGTACTTCGCTGCAGTAAATCATAAGGGGATAAAGAAAAACTTCTAACCTCCAGTAGCAGAGCTCTCTTTCACTCTCCAGCTTAAACAAGCTTGACAAATCCTTGTTAGGTATAGAGTGAGACACTGGAGTGTAAGCCCCTACCCTTATGACGCAGTGCCTGGTCAGGAGTCCCTGTACAAGAGCACACTGGAGTCTGACACTGACATTCTGCTGTCACCTCATTGGTTTGTGGGTCTCTTCTCCATCCGGTGATAACACTGTTGCCACCTTGAGGGAAGAGATCCATGACCCAGTTTCAACTGGAAATAGGTGAAGGCTCTACCGGGGTTTTATATTGACTCATATCTTAGTATAATTGTCCAAGTAGGTCTGGTATTTTTTGTTTATTCCTTTTTTTTTTTCTTCTAAAGATTATATAAATTTGGTCAGGTTGAACCATTTTCTAATTCCACCTTGATAATCCTAAGGCAGTTTGGCTGAACAGGGAACAATGAAAGTTACAAAGCTGTTTACTTGTGAAAAGGACAGTCACTATTCTAGTTTCTCTGTTTGCCAAAATTATAAACTTGGGTCTGCACAAATGGCTTTTGGGAAAAATTACATTTAGGAAGTTAAACAGAATTAAAACTAGGCCAAAACCTAACAAAAGTAGAAGAAAATCGATGATAAAAAGTTGTTGTTTAGATGAATGGTTACCAAAACTAATTCCACCGTAATTATAACTAAGGTAGAATATGGTGGAAAAAACAACTTAATTCAGTTAATTCATGTTTTGCTTTGGCAGTAATCGTGTTCCATCAACACAATGGAACACAATTACACAATTTATATCTAATACATTTTGTTTTCACCCAAAGTGATTTAAAGTAAACTGAGCTTTTATCACTTTATTCTTACACTATTCAATAACTTGAACTTAATACTACACATTATTGACATATTATATGGTGGTGTTTATGTTGTAGTGTTGATTACACAATTTTACAATGAAGGCCTTAAAACAGGCCATTAAGGTAGTTCATTGGAATTTTCACTGCTCTATTATTTTTAAGCCAAATTCTATGTGCAATTAAGTCAGAGGCCACGACCAAACATTGTATAAAGTGGGCCAATCGATGACTTCCTCCCTATTTTGAACAGGAGCAAAGCCCCATTGGCTTTCAGTCATGCTTACTATTGATTGTTAGGTGCCTTAATTTACTTTAGTCGCACAGCAGGCTTTTCACCTCATTACACTGCTGGTGGCTCTTTGGCCAAAGCCAGCATTGGGCTCCATCATCATTAACACCTGCCTAGACATTAAAGTGAGTAACCAGATAAAAAAGAGAGAGATTAGAGATTCTATTGGTGCTCCTCACACCTCCCTGGCTAATGATTTGTGTTAAAGTCTAATGGTGTGTGTGGCAAAAGGCTAGTCAGCACCAAAAAGTCAGAGAGTAGGAGTGGGGTGTCACTGTGTCTGAGCGGTTTCTACATCCACCTCTGACCTTCATTAAAAACACCCCCTTACTGATCACTGAGGCCTACAGTTTACTATGCTGTTAATTCCTGAAACAATGCATTTGTGAGACAGTAATTTAGGATGTGTTTACTCACCTGCAGCATACGAGGGTACACTGAACAACAAAATACTTCCAGTGGTCCCTGCCTCTGCAGCGTGAGAGGATTTTTTCAACCATGTAAAAACAGCTATTTATTTGCTAGATTTAATGATGTTAGAGAAGACACGGGACAACCTCCTCTACACACACAAAAACAAATTCTTGACAAAATGCTACACTTTGCAAAACTACAGTTCTTCCTAAATTCTGGGCAAAAAAAGTTATTTTAATGTTTTTTTAAGACCGACAAAAAAGTTAAGTTAAGCCAAAAAAATTAGGATTTTACAAAAATACCTAATAAAGACATTGTCAAGAATGTATTTATTTAAAACATAAGTGAAGCTGAATTAAACAACCCAAATTGGAACAAAAAAATATTGTAAAATAATCCCAAAATAAATTAAAAACATTTAAAAAATTTTTAAATTATTTTAAAAATTGAGAGCATATCTATAGGTTAATAAAAGTATGTAAGCTATTGGTATAGCAGAGAAAGAGCAAATGATCTCAAGGAAAATATAGAATAAATTTATTTATTTATTTATTTAAAAAAATAAACAAACATTTGTCTTAATGTTGTTAAAATAAATTTAATCTCACATTAAAAATTACATTAAAATTACAACATAATAATACATCATATATTCATTTTTAAAATTACTAGATTTTATCATGAGGGAGAACTATGCTATGCTCACTATGATTTGCCCTTGGAGATGGCAACTTCATGTTTCGGCATGTGTACTTGCACTGATATGATGCGATGTTTAAAACATCACTTTGATTCTACAGAAAGTGTTGGATGGATTCAGACGAAGCTGAGTCTTAGAGCAGTCCAATCAATACTCTGCACTTTGTGAAGCATTGCAGAAAAGCAGAAAAGGAAAGTGATAGCTTTAAGAGCAAAGCACTGACACATCAGGAAACAAATTAGACTCCTCACCTAGATGGACTTCCCACCATGCATCACTCATCAGTGGGATAGCACATGT